CCCTGATGCACTCTCCTTTTCTCCCAGGAGATGGCCAATCACACCTTTGACCGCTGGCTGCCACTGGTGCTGGCGCTCTCGCTGTTACTGACCCTCATCACGTCCGTTGCTCTCCTGGTGCAGTGCTGTTTCAAGGTGAGCCAAGGACTCGTTTGCCAGAGCGCTGCCAGCCAAACCCTGGGGCTGGAGAGCACAGGGGCGGGTGGGGGGTGCATGCTCTCACAGTGCTCATGGGGCCCCGGTGCTGCTGCGGATGCCTGTGGACATGCTGGCGAGCACAAAGGATGACTTCGCAGACTTCGAGCTCATTGTGGTACCCCACCCTGGAGCTTGGAGGTGTTCAGAGCTGCTGGGATCAGCTTGTCCTGGCTCCTGGTGGAAATGCTGGTGCCGAGTTCAGCTCTTGTTCCATGTAGGAACTGCTGAGGGTTTCCTTGATGTTGCTTCCTTGGCTATATCCTTAGATGCTATTTCCTTGCTGTTATTGTCCCAAATCAGCTCAAATGACACCCAAAATGGATTTAATGGTCCTAAACCAGGTCCCAAATATCCCAAAATGCCCCACAAGTCCCCACAGCAGCTCAACATTCACCCCAAATGCCTCCAGACAGCTGGAATTGCCCCAAATTATGCACGAAGAGCACAAACTCTGCCCCAAACCTTCCAGAAATTCCCCCAAACCGCCTTCAAAAGCCCCAAATGACACTCAAACCACGAGATCCCAGAGTGCAGACATCCAGGTCCTGCTCCTAAGCCTAAGGTGCCAGGACAGAAAGCTGGTGCTTGGCAATGATCCGGCAGAGGAGCAGGTGAGTAGAGGACGGGGGGGCTCCTCCGAAGAAAGGGGGGTAACAGCTGGATTTGGGGCTGATTCCCCTAAAAAGACCTTTCCGTGACGGGCTGTGCTTGTGGTGGCCCCAAAATACTCCAAACCCCTGATTCTGGGTCTGCAAAGGTTGGGGTAGGGGGGCTGGTGTGGGGGGTACCCCGCCAAAACCCAGCACAGGCGGTGGAGGGGTGCGGTGCGGCGCCGCTCGCTGCTGCCATCTGTGTGCAGAGTTCGGTACTGCAGGCGGTGGTGGTTGGAGGCGGTGCGCGGTGCGGCGCCGGGCCATCAGGGATGTTCCTGCTTAGAAGCAATTGCCAGAAGCAGATGCAAGGCGTCTACAGGCCTGAATTCCAATGCGTTGTTTATCATGCCTCACCAGAGGGGCAGGTTCCCACCCTCAGAGGGGTCCCCTCTTTCATGTTCAGGTGCTAAGTCATCCTCATGCTAAAAACTCAAGTTATTTCAGCTAAGGCCTAATGGCTTGGTCTCAATTTCCCCCCTTTTCCTTAAAATTGTGCAAATTCTTTTGCACAGTCCATAGTATGCACACCTCTTGAGCTACTGTAGGAACTTTCCACCACGTCCACAAATGAACAATTGTTAATAAAGCCGTAGTCAGCAGTAGCACAAGCACAGGGTAGACCGGTATATCAAAAAGTTGAGTTGCTGTAAGAGGTTGCCATTTTGTCCCTACCAAGAAAACTTCCCACCAGTGGTGCTCTCCAGTTCTCTTGGTGTCAGTGATGATTTCTTCGATTTCTTCTACATTATGCTTAACAGCCCATATTGCTTGGTGAGAAGTTTTGTTGGCCTTCTGCATCATCTTCTCCAGCTCTGGGTGACAGAACATTTTCTTTAGCATTTCTATTTTTGAGGGCAGGTATATCATGGTATAACACATCGGTATCTTGTATTAGTTGGTAAATAGTGACAGGGGTGGTGTAGTTAAAATCGCATCCAATGATTTTGGTAAAATTGCACACACAAAAGTTAGTAGCATTTGTTTCTTCGATACACCTATCAATTGTTGCATTCTCACACGTGGTTCTTATACAAGTGTCGTGGTTTAAACCTAGCCAGACAGCTTGTTCACTCACTCCCAGTGAGTGGTGCCAGGCTGGAAGCAATCGAGGCCCCCACCACACCCCCCCCCCCCCCCAGGGGCTCTTCTCCTTTCCGGCTCCCAGTGGGATGGGGAGGAGAATTGAAAGAATGCAACTCCCACGGGTTGAGACAAGAACCGTCCAGCAACCAATCACCACCGCTACCACCAACGACAACAATGATAAGAGAAAATAACAAGGGAAGAGAATACGATACCACCTGCTGATCACAGGCCCATCTATATGTCGCATCTCTGCCCTGATGGCCTGAAGTGTCATGGGCCCACCGGGCCAAAAATAATTCACCCTTATGTTGCCAATCTAAGTCCATCTGTGCCACTTCAATCTTAGCAGCTTTATCCACTTGTTGGCTGTTTTGGTGTTCCTCAGTGGCCTGACTCTTGGGTACATGAAGATCTATGTGGTGTACCTTCACCACCAGGTTCTGCACCCACTGTGGCAGCAATATCTTGCCACAGTGCAGCAGCCCAGATGGGTTTACCTCTGCTTTGCCAGTTGCTCTGCTTCCATTGCTGCAACCACCCCCACAGGGCATTTCCCACCACCCATGAGTCAGTATAGAGATAAAGTACTGGCCACTTTTCTCGTTCAGCAATGTCCAGGGCCAGCTGGATGGCTTTCACCTCGGCAATCTGACTCGATTCACCCTCTCCTTCAGCAGTTTCTGCAACTTGTCGTCGAGGACTCCATACAGCTGCCTTCCATCTCCGAAGCTTTCCCACAAAACGGCAGGACCCATCGGTAAACAAGGCATCCTGCTTTTCACTTTCTGACAGTTTATTATATGGATGGGCCTGCTGCAGATTTTTGCTGGGGCTGATGTATGTAATAACGCAACATTTAGCGCAGTTTTACTTATGGGAGAAGCCTCAGTGTGCTCCTTATATATGGACAAGGCTGCCTTGGAGTGCAAAGGTACAAACAGTTTTCAGGGTGAGCACCTAAAAGAGAAAAGAAACCTGTTAGAATGTACCTAGATTTCCGATGCTGTGGTGTTAGTGAGCTCCAATTGCCCATCGGATGAGCTTCGGATATTGCAGTTGTGAAAGCTGCCTGCCCTGAAGTGTTTGCTCTTCCCTTCTGCTGGTGGTGCCGCATGTTCTGCATGAACAGTGATTTCCCAGAGCGAGGGGACTTTAAGCCATGAGGCTGTTTCTTCATCTCAGGCTGGGTAACAGCGAGGGCGGGTGAGGCGGGCAGGCATGGCAGGAGCCCTCTCTCGATGCTGTGGGGATGAGGGATGGAAGCCATCAGGTGAGCTGGATTCACTGGTTCCTTTCCCACCTGCAGAGCTGCCGGGAGCAGCAGGCAGGGCACAGAGGCCTCTCTCTGGCTGTCCGCATGGGCAGCAAACACTCGTGAGCGGCCACTGCAGATGAGGCAGAAACCAGGGCACCGGCAAGCAAATGGGGTGTGTGGGGAGCCAGGGTGCCGTGTCCCACCTGCCCAGCGTCCCAGCGCTGCTGGAGCCTGTGTCCCGGTGGGAAGCCTGGCTGCGGGACTGGGGCTGGGACAGGCTGATGCTGGTCCCTGTCTCTGGGAGCCTGGGAGCTGATGCTCCCGTGGAGCAGTTATACAGGAGAGGAGGAGCTTTAGGAGAAATCCTGGCACTCCAACAGAGCAGCCCCCAGGAGCACCAGGAACACTGCTAGCAAGTAGCTGGATGGACCACCGCCTGTGCATAGACACCTTTTCTTCTGCCTCCTCTGCTTGGGGCTGGCTCCTTGCTTTAAACCCTTTACATTCACCCTTTAAAACATGTATGTTTTTAAGACTCCACTTCCCAACCCAGGGCTTTGGTTGTGATTCTGCCTGGCTTTTCTAGAAAGCACTGGGTTTGTTTTGTTGTGATTTTTTTTTTTTTTTTTGGGGGGGGGGGGGTTGTGGCAAAAAACGAAGGGTGTGACACTGTGACTTACCCTCCTCCTGAAGTCCCCAAGTGCCTCTGAGAGCCCAAATCACGACAAGCCCAGAAATCACCCTGTGATTTGGGAGAGGCAGCTCTGCTGGGAGTGGATGGACACCTTCAGCCCCAAACAAGGCTGGGAATTGGGAATGAACCATGGAAACTGGGTCAGAATTAGAAAATCTCTTCCTGCCATGGACTGGGAGGGAACTCCACCTAAAACGCACACAAAAGTGGAGTAGAAAAAGCTTGCAGCACTGCAAGCAGAGAGCTCCAAGCATCCTGGGCTGTGTTTCGGCATCTCTATCTGCTCCAGCTGGAATGTCTCCCTGCCTGGAGGCGTGATGGGAGATGGCTTTGTGAGAGGCTGTGACCAAGTAAGTAGTCCACGTACCATGTGTGTGCCCCTGGCATCTGGGTAAAAAAGCCTCTCTCCAGCCATGCCAACCTGCTCCATCTCCCCTGCTCATCTCTTCTCCTGCCCTCCAGGGCTGCCGGTGCCTTTGCAACAGGCTGCAGAAATCTTGGAACCCTCAAGAGTAAAGTTGCTGCTGTGGGATCCCCAGTGCTGCTTCCTGGGCTGGGTAACATCACGCAGGTCTACTCCGTGCAGTGGGAATACCTCAGTGGTGCCAGCTCCCACACCATCCTGCAGTACTACAAGGGATCCCACAGCCTAGCCATCCACGCACCCTACGCAGGACAAGCTGTTTTCCGTCCATCCGATGGATCTCTCCTGCTGGACGAGCGTGTCCAGGAAAGTGACAGTGGCATCTACAAAGCAGCTGTCAACATGGGACAATCCTCAGCAGGATGGATGGCAGGAGATTGGCAGACCCCTCTTGGAGGAGGTCCCAAGTGATGGCCCTTGGCCAAGGCGATGGTGAGCAGAACATGGGGGGGGGGGGGCGGTTGGAGGGTGACCAGGAAAGCCTATGGGCAGCACTTGTCCCAGGTTGGACATTCCATGGACCACAGCCTGCAGCACAAAGCACGAATGCGACACCAGGTGGCAAATGAATTGAATGTGTCCTGGTGACAGAGAAGCCCCATGGACCACCAGAGCCACCCTTGCTGGGCCCAGCGGTGGTCTCACTCCCAGCTCCTCGGGTTTGTGGTTTTTTTTTTTTGTGTCAAATCCTGGGCAGGAAACAGCAACGACGCTTGGAAAGAGATAGAAGACAGAGGAGGGGAAGAACTGCCTTCTATCTTTTTTCATACCCTGCTGAGCTGGACACAGCGTCACCTCTGCAACATCAGCCTGCAGAATCTTTATTATTACAGAAAATACAGGTTTGCATCAAAGCAGTCCTAAAACACACAACCAGAAATACTTGGCACAGGGAATTCAACACACAGACCTTACACGTCCATGGAGACTGCCATCCCCAAATGCTACTGTATCTCTTCCTCCCTCTGGGCCCTGTACTCCTTCATGCTCCTCTGCAAGCAAGAGCAAAGAACAAACGTTAACAGCGTATACCTGAGAGGCTCGTACACCCCATGCCGCCACTCTGATCTGTGCTGTGACTCCTCTGCCCAGTGCAGAGGATCCTGAGCAGCTCTGGCAGAGCTCCAGGTACCTTCAGAAGTGACTGAGCTTTACATTCACTCCAAGGAACAGGAAGCCAGGCCATGCTGCAGGTCAGGCAGAGAAAGTCTGAGATAACTCTAGGTTCTTTATGCCTACAACACAGCTGTCAGCCCTTTCCTCTCACCTCTGAGACCAAGAGACAGAAAAGCCCCCTGAACTCTTCAGGAATAGTCTCACCTCAAAGGTGTTGAGTACATGTTAGCAAACACCCATCAGGTCATTCATTCCTTTCTGGCATGGCTCAACAGCAGGAAGGGCCCCTTTGGGAAAGAAGATGGGCCAGTGGTTTCCAAAGAGGTTGGTGGCCCTCTCCCTCACTGCTCTGGGCAGTGTGGTTGTTCCTCCATGACGGGAACAGGCTCTTACATCAGGCACATGCCACACACTTCCCTCCTACCAGCCCGCCGTCAGCACCCTGAGAGCTGAGCTCAGGCCAGGCTACGGTGCAGGAAGGGCAGAGCCAAACCCTGCAGGAGCCCCACAGGGAAGGGGTTCCCTTGGCAAGAACAGCCTCAGCACTACTCATTTTTAGGAAATTAAAGAGCCAGCAAGCACAAACTCAGATACTCAGGGGAGCAGCCCCATAAGGAAGGAATGAAATAACACTGTCCTCCTGCGGCGGCAGCAGACAAAGCTGTGGAGCCTAGATGGAGGGCAGTAGACTGAGCTGAATGGGCTGGTGCGCTGGGAGGAGTGAGTGATGGCCTGAGGCTCAGAGTTGCCAGTGCTGCCTGTTAACAGAGAACACAGACCCCTCTGGGAGGCAAGTCAAGAGACAGCACAGACTTTTCAAGAGAGCTTTGGTTCACAGCCTGATGAGCAAAGCTGCCAGATAAGCAAGAAGAAGCAGAAGCAAATTCTCACCGCAGCTATGTATGTCAGCACCCTTTGGGTTGGCTTTCCAAATCTTCTGCTGATTTAGGGGCAGGTGAAGCACCCATCACCCCTGACCGGACTTAGCAGATCCACCTTACCCCGGCACTGCAGTACCGTGCCTGCAGAGAAGAGGGAGAAGAGTGGTTTTCTTTATTGAAATGACTCATGGTGGAAACCTGACGTGAACAGAGGGGATTCCACAAAGGAAGGGCCCTGAACGTGAAAGCAATGCACACCCCATACCTCTGGTCTGGATCCGGAAGCTGATCTTGCTTTCAGAGGGGTGTGTGATACAGTAGCCACAGAACTCCGCATCAGGGCTGCAGGAAGGGCGAGAGGAGAAGAGAGCAGTAAAACCCAGGCCAATCCACAGCAAATCTCAGGGAAGTCAGAGGCTTGGGCCACCCCAGACCTGCTGGGGCTCAGGACGTTTCTAATATGACTGAGGGTCTTATGGGAGGGATGTGCTCAAAGGACACTCCCCCTGTAACCTTATTCACACCCTTCCATCTATCTCTGAGCTGCAGCTGGAACTTGGCAGGGGAAAGACCTGGCTGGCACCCTGGTCAAACAGGGGATCCTGGCTGCGTGGAAGCCTCCCTCCACACAGACCTGTTGCAATTCTGCTGGGCAAAGGAGGCAGATGGGTCTAGGGCACCACAAGATGTTTGCAGACTGCATGACATCTGCCTTCACAAGCCGAGGTGGTTGGTAGAACATTTGCGCACACAGCAGAAAGCACAGCCCCTCACAAGAAGGCTGCTCTTTTTCTTGTCATGGTGAGACATCAGAGGAATTCACACAGCATTTGCAATGCGACTGTCATTTGAGATGGTGCATTGAACTTCCTGCTGGAATTCTTCTGAGCCTTCCCAGTGAGTCTTCACAAACCCCCAGTGCCTCCCAGCTGGATAAAACCAGTGAAGGCATTTGTATATTTTAATGGGGGCAGCAGGATTACTAATTTCCAGCACCAATTCCTGCATCTTGATGGAAGCATTAAAGGGGATCAATTTGCTTAATACTGGCTGTTCCTACCCTCTTTTCTGACAGCACTTGCCCCAGAAGGCGACATAGGTACTGCCTGACCACCTGTACTTACAGAGTTGCACATCATTTTACCCAGAGCCACGTAAGACATTCAGAAATCTGTCACATGTCTGCCATTCCATTTCCTCTCTACTAACCATCAGAGCAGCGAGGGCTGGCTGTTCCTTACGGGACGGGGAGCTGGGAGCATGAACAAAGGTGCAAAGGTGGTAGCCAGGGCCAGCCAAGGGTCCAGGTCACCAGGCAGGTTTGTGGGGGTGAAATAGGTGCGAGGCCGGGTCAGGAAGACAACCTGCAGGTCGGGTGAGGGTAAAGAGGGTCAGACAAAACCTATGAGCACCAAGCAGATGTACAATGTACAACATTGAGGAGAGGCTGATGTTGGGTCAGGAAGTCAGCCCATGGGTCAGCATCCAACAGCTCAGTACAAGCTGAGCTGAAGACCCATATAGATACAACATAGCTCAGGAGGGACTGAAAGCCTAAGCTAAGCTTAAATGGGGTTCCTGAGCCTGTGGGCAGGGTGTGTGTGGAGGCCCCAGGTGAGGCTGGTCATACTCATCAAGGCCTATTAGCGCTCTCAAGGCTAACAGCACAAGGAGAAAACTGAATCCTGTTAAGGGAGGGGGTAGGTAAGGAGCCTCTGGCACGAGCTCTGATATAAATTCTCCAACAGGCATGCACAGAGGTAGTTTTGCCTTGTTCCAGCAGCAACTGAGATGCAACTTAGTGAAGAAGGGCAGAACAGGAGACAGAGGAACCCCCAGTGGTACCAGGGGCTGTGGTGACTCCACTTACCTCACAACCATGTAGTGGAGGGCATTGCCAAGCGTGTGGTCCCCATCGGGAAACACAGACGTGACTCAGTTTCCATTTGTCCCATCCGCCCGAACCTGCCGTGAATGGGGAGAGAAGAGATGCTGTAAGGTTCTCTGCATACCAGCCCCAGGGTGAAAAATCAACAGCTGTGCTCAGCTTCAGCACAGGACTTGTAGCTCTGGCTGGCTCATCGCTGTGGCTCGTGGCTCATGTCTCAAGTGCTGGAGTGTGACCAAGAGCAACTTCACAGAGGAGGGAGGGAAGGTGGCAAAATTATCGAGCTTAGAGAAACGTCCCCCTGGTTACCAAAGTGCCTGTGCACCCTTGCTCCTCACAGGAGAGAAGAGGAGCCCAAAGAAAGCTGCCAGCTTCAGGATCCATGGTGGAAAGAAGCTGGGAGTGACTGTTGAGGATGGTGTGATACCAGGCCCTGCCACCAGCACAGGGCTAGACAGGAAGTCAAGAACTCCCCAGGGAGGCTGTCAGCAGGGAAAGCTTATCCCACTTCAAAACCAACTATAAGCCCTCCCAGTTCTCACCTGGTTACACTGCCCTATCGGCCAACGAGTCCCTGGACTCACCCGATCCACCCTCAGGATCGCTAGCAGCCGCTCTATCGGTCGACGTATATTCTCTAAAATTATACGTACGTATTAGGTTACACAACATGCCTATACATATTCATGTCCTATCCCTGCTTCGTATTATAATGAGCTAAACGGTCCTTTGCGGCTGCGCAGTAACTCCCGGTGGTCGTGGGTGAGGGTCTCAAGATGAAGTCAATGACTCTTCCTCTGCTTAAACTTTTTACCTCTAATAGTTGCTCATGCTCCCTGGTGACTTGGTCATTGTCCAAACCACAAAGCTGGCTCTAGCCAGTTTCAGGACCCAGAAAGCAGGAGCCAGATTACTGTTCCTTCCTCTTACCAGTAGCCGTGTCCTCCCATCCTGTTCTAGCACAGCATAATGAGCATGAAAAATGTTTGTGGAGTATGGGCAAGCATTAACATCGTTAAGCAAGCGGCTTAACACTACCCCTGCCTGTACATTGGTTAAATCTTTTTGCATTACTGTTCCCAGGCTGAAAGTCAAAAACACAGCGCTGCACCAGCTACTAAGGAGAAAAAGTGACTGCTACTGCTGAACCCAGGACAGTGTTCAGCTCCTAAGTCTGAGGCCCAGAGTCTCAGCCCCAGAGTCTCAGCCCCAGAGTCCCAGCCCCAGAGTCTCAGCCCCAGAGTCTCAGCCCCACAGTCCCAGCCCAGGAGTCTTAGCCCGAGTCTCAGACCTACAGTCGTAGCCCGAGTCTCAGTGCCAGAGTCCTCATTTGTGAGTCTCAGCCAGAGTATGTTCCAAAATCTGACCACCACAGTCTCAGCCCTGTGAGGACGGAGGCACGGACCCAGAGGTAGAGTGCAAGCTGGATCGTTTATTGCAAAGCTTACACAATATTTATATGCTTCCAAGCAATTAGCAGAGCACATCTGGGTTTGCCTTGCGGTTACATCAGGTGAAAGTGATACGTGGATTGACTCCAGCTCCTTAGAGTTGTAAAGTAGGTATGCTTTATTCAGCTGAGGTGCATGGGGGTTGCTCCTCCAAAAGCATGCGCACTCCCCTCTTTCCAGTTCTGACATCCTCGTTCCTTGCCAGTTCCAACGACTTCCAAGTACCAGTCAGGGACGGGTCGCTCTTAATTGCCTGCTGTAGTTCCTCCTTCCCATGGTCTCTGACAGTTTTGATACATTCCAACCCCCACACAGCTCCACAGTCTTAGCCCCACAGTCTCAGCCACAGAGTCTTAGCCCCACAGTCTCAGCCAGAGTCTCATCCCCACAGTCTCAGCCCCAGAGACCCAGCCCCACGGTCTCAGCAACAGTCTCAGCCACAGGGTCTGAGGCTGAGAGTCTCAGCTCCAAAACCTGAGCACCAGAGTCTCAGCTACAGTCTCAGCCACAGAGTCTATATTACAGTCTCTGTCACAGAGTCTGACATTCAAAGTCTGAGACCCAGAGTCAGAGCCACAGAGTCTCAGCCCCAGTCTGAGCCCCAGTCTGAATCCCAGAGTGTTAGTCATAGACTTTCAGCAGCAGTCTCAGCCCCAGAGTCTGAGAGTATCAGCTCCAAAGCCTGAGGCCCAGAGTCTCAGCCGCCGTTTCAGCCACAGAGTCTCAGCCTCTGAGTCTTATCCCCTGAGTCTGGCCCAAGTGGTGCAGCAGGAGCAAGGACACAGACAGGGACAAGGATGAGGTACGGGCAGGAGCAGGCAACAGCTCCGCGTCTCTGCCTGCTCCCTGCCCCATGCCTGCTTCCCACCGCTCCTATCCCTGCCCCGCGGGAGGTGGCCCTGGCTCAGTCCACTGCTGGTGAGGTGTCAGGCTTGTACAAGGTGGTCGTAAGTGTGAAGGAGGCGATGAAAGCCCCGCCTTCAGTTCATGCAGTTCCAACCCCCTCCCCAACGGCTGTTATGTCATTGCTGTGACGTCCCTGCTGTCCTTTCAGTGATGCCAGATCCGAGTCAAGCTTTTCCAGTGAGGACACATCGTTCTGGGACGAGCCGATTTCCCTTGCCTTCAGAGAGCACCCAGCACACACGCGTGGCAGACGCGCACAGACTGCACAAACACGTACTGAACGCACACGTGCTGCACGCGTAGATGTGCTGGTCTGTAACACGCCCCAGGTGGGGCAGAGCGACCAGCTCCAACGGCAGGGGATTGTCCCATGTCACAGTGGGGCCGCACGCTCGCAGGCCCGGCCGATGCAACTCCTGCGGCGAGGCCCCATTGTGAGGTGTGAGGTGTCCCGGGCTGTATCTGCCCAGCAGGGCCAGCACAGCGCCAGATCTGCTGCTGGTCGCAGACGAGAGCTCCTGGTTTGGATCCCCAGCCTTGAGCCTCGTGTGGTACCAAAGGCGCTCAGGCCCTGTGTCGCTATGGAACCGCTGCTGCTGCTGCTGTTGCTGCTGCTGGGCCTGGCCCCCGGCCTGGCCCGGCCCCTGGGGCCCTGCCCAGGGCCCTGCCGCTGCCGCGGGCGCCACCTGGACTGCAGCAGCGCTGCCCTGGCCCGCGTGCCCCTGGCCACCCCCCAACGGCCCTTCTCCGTGCTGTGAGTGCCCTGCAGCTCCGGGCGCTGCCCCGGACACCCCGAGAGCGGCTCCAGGGACACGCTGCCTGTGGAGGGCTGATGGGCAGCGCCGAGGGGGCAGCTCCAGGCCGGCCTCACGGCCACCCCGCAGCCCTGGGGCAGGGGAAGGGTTTGTGCTGGGGGTGACGCTGCCAATGGCTTCTCCGCAGGGATTTCACTGGGAACGCGCTCGCCCTCATTCGCCCTCAGCCGTGGAAGGGATACCTGTGGGCTGAGAAGCTGTGAGTATCCACCAGTATCGGACTTGGCACAGGGGTTCCGGGATCCCCATCCCTCCGCCGAGCTGCCGAGCTGAGGCTGTGCTGAGCACCACACCAGTGCTTGCCATGTGCTCGGCCTGCAGTCAGGGTCAGCAGGCTGGGAGCAAGCCCCTGCTCCTGCCATGAGCGTGATGAGTCGTGGCGGGACCCAGAGAGATGCCGCCGTGACGCTGCTGCAGGGTTGCTCCCCTGACAGCTCCATTGCACCCGAGAGCCACGGGTGCCACTGTTCGTCTGTCTCTTGCAGAGTCCTCCAGCACAACAACCTGCTGGCGGTGAAGAGGCGCTCGCTGGGGGGGCTGCTCCTGCTGAGGCACCTGTAAGTACCCCCCTGCCCATGGTGGTGGGCACGGCCTCCCCCCTGCCCTGGCCCTGCTGCTCTACAGTCCGCCCCAGGAAGGGCTTTATTCCTGCGGGTATCCCGGCTGCAGCCAGAGCAGAGCAGGGTCTTGGTGCAGGGGCGGGCTCCCCAGGGACGCGCTGCACTCCCATTGCCCCACGGCCGAGCAGGAGCAGGTGGCTGCTGCCCTTTCCCTGCACAGACCTGCACGAGGCCGCCTCCTCCAGGGCAAACCTTGTGCATTCGTCTCCTCTCAGCTCGGATGCCCCAGAGCTGCCTTGGAGTGAGCTCATGGTGCAGTTCATCGCCCGTGGAGAGGGGCAGGCACTTCCCATTCACCTCCACGATGGGGCTGGGGACTCTGGCTGAGCAGGCCATGAAACACACCCCACAAAGGTTCCTCTCTCCTTGTTTGCTGCAGAACAAGCCCCCCAGTCAGAGAGTTCAGGCTGGGACAAGGAACCTTTTGGTTTCTAGAGCCAGGCCAGAGGACTCCTGCGCACATCAGAGCAGGGCTGCGCAGGGAGGTGACGTTTAGCAGCTAAGGGAAATAGCCCCATTTTGGTCACACAGGGCGTTACAGCCTGTCCCTGAGGCCGCACACAAGAGGTGCTCTTGGGGCGTGCATAAAGGACCTGCTCTGTTACCAGAGAGGAAAATCAGCCCTGAAATACCCCTGGTGGGATCAGAGCTGGGAGAACCTCTCTGAGCTGCAGCCACCCCCGTCAGGAGCGTGACCTCCGGTTACACACCACTGCAAGCCAGTGCAGGAGAGAAACCCCACGTGAAATGAGAGCTATGGCACGTCTGTGCCGCCAATGTCAAAGCACCTGAGAGAAACCGGGACAGTGCAAATGTCACCAGCGTTTTGTGTTCTCCTGTTAACAGGGATTTATCTTACAACAAAATCCAGTTGATCGAGGCGTGTGCTTTGGAGAACCTTCCTTTCCTGGAGACCATGTGAGTTATGGGAGTTCCTTCCTGGTGCGGTTGGTGAAGCCTGGTTGCATTTTGAACCTTCTGGTGCTGGAAAAAGCTCCAGTTATTTTTAGAAGAAGGCCTCCGGTTTCTCCTGCTGAAGGAGCAGCAGAGCTCAGGTGCTCAGGGAGTGGCTGGTGGCCACGCCAGGATGGGGCCATGGCTTCTGCAAACACAGCAGGAATAGAAGCTGTGTCTTGAGTCTTGCTGTGTCCTGGCACAGGCAGAGATGCAGCACGCATGCACTTCATCTCCTCTCCTGGACAGGTTAACAAACAGCAGGAGAGAAAATGGCAGTTTCCCCCCAGTTCCACCTTGGATGGGGCTGTTTCCTACAGATCAGTGCTGCTTCTCTCCAGCTTCCTGTGGTCTTCATTTCTGTGGTCTCCTGTTTCCCCAGAAGCCTGGAGGGAAATCTCATCACCCAGATCCGGAGCGACACCTTCCGGGCATGGCACGGGATGCAGTTCCTCCAGACGCTGTGAGTGTTCCAAGGGCTAAGGGTAGCTCAGAGCAGTGGCACTTGTCACTGTGTTCTGCTCACCTCTTAACCCCAGTAGGCAGCAGCATCAATGCTGAATGACAACTCTGTCAGGCCACGCCTTTGCCTGGCTGGGTGCAGGACCAGAGACAACGCTCAGGGACAGTGGGAATGTGAGAAATAGGGAAAGTCCTGTTGGAGGGAAGCCACCAGAAGGTGTGAGTTGAGGAGGAAAGAAAGAGATGTTGTGTTTTCCAGAAGCAGCACTTCTGGGCTTTTGCTCTCTGGGCTGGAGATAGTCAGGACCTGATGTATGTTGTGAATCTGCCCATCAGCATCTGCCCTGGTCTGGAACCTTCACCCCAGGCCCTTCCTCACACACGCAGCACTGAGCCCCTGCCACCGCTCTCATCCTGCACCCCCCGCTCACATGGGGTGTTGGTTCATTTCAGGGTCCTGAGTCGTAACCCCCTGTCTGTTATCGAGGACACATGGTTCTTCAAGCTGCCTTCAGTCACTCACCTGTAAGTACGGACTCCTTGTTAACGGCTTACCGTGGATCTTTCTTTGTGTCTCTGGGTGCCCCGTGGCCAGGAAAGCAGAGATCCAGCAGCAAATCCCACCCTTCTCCCACCCTTCTCCTGCTGGAGGCAGCGGCAGAGCCAGGCAAAGGCTGAGCAGTCCTGGCGTGTCCCATCTGCAAAGCCAGCACGGAGCTGCGACACGGACTCGAACTTGTCTGCATTCATGTCCCATGGGATCTGCAGGATCCCTTCTGGTTCAGACCCATGGGTGGGAGCAGGGCACAGCAGGAAGAAGAGACGGTTTTCCGTCTTTTCTCCTGGATTAGGTAGCAGCAGATCCCCCCCCTGCGGCCAGCACAGCAAGCAGCAGGGACTGGGCTTGTTCCCGGAGCAGAGGCTGGTGCCGCCACCTCAAATGTAATGTGTTTCTTGAAACCCTTGCAGGGACCTGGGTGCCACACGAGTGACTCGGCAGACGCTGCTCATGCTGCTCCTGAGAACATCCCGTTTGGAAACACTGTGAGTGTGCGGGGGCTGGCTCCCACCTCCAGCAGATCCCGGCTGCTGGGACAAAGGGTCTGTGTGGGGAACAAACCCAGCAGCACAAAAGTATCCATTGGGACACAGGGAGCGAGGGGAAGTTTCCCAGAGCTGCAGCAGACACTGAAGCAGACCCCTGAGGCGTTTCTGTGCGCCACCTGGGTTGGAGTCGCTGCCCTGGGTCGCGATGCTGAGTGTTTGTGCACAACCTCTGTTCTTTAGCAAGCTGTCCATCGACACGGCCTGCTGCCTCTGCCAGCACAAGCACAGCACTGAGACCCCGTGCAGGACCCTCAGCTTCGACTGCACGAGCGTGTGCAACAGCACTGTTCCCCGCTGCGGTAACTGGCCCACAGCCCTGCCCATGTCCCCCAGCTATAGTGAACCTTCTGAGCCTGTGTCTGGCAGAAAGCTCTTTGTCACTGAAGTGCTCTTGGTGTGTTACAGCTCCCCTGGCAGAGACACCAGGGCTCCTAATGGGACCGGTGCCCCCCAAGAAAGGGAACAACAGGTCCGTGTTGAATCTCCAGCCTAAGGAGCCTTCACTCGGGGAGCAGAGAACCGTCACGCTCACAGTTGCCTGGAGCCTGAGCAGCCTCGATGCATCAGCACCTTCCCCTCAGCAGCTCTCGAGGCAGGAGGGCAACATCGCCAAGGAGCTGACGCTGATGCTGCAGAGCATTCAGCACAGGGGCTGGAGCAGCTCTATTGACACCAGGAGGCTCTATTTCCTAGCAGAGGGGCTCGTGGCACAGCTAAAGAACAAGCTGCACAAGGCCATGAGCATCCTGACTGTGAAAAGTATGAACCTCAGCGATATCCTCCCAGTCTCCAGCCACCAGAGTACACCCACCCTTCCTGCAGCGCAGCCTTCTACACAGTACCAAACAGAGGACCCACATCTCGCCCTGTCTGGTGAGAGTCAGGATCATTCAGACGCCATGGGGCAGACCAACACGCCTGACAGGATGGAGAATGAGGGTAGCGCAGAAGATGAGGAGGAAGCACCATCCCCAACACAGGACTCTGCTGGGACAGATGAGGAGCAGAAGCAGGAGGACAGCGATGGGACAGTGGGCAACGAGGGTGCAGAAGAAGAGCCTGCAGCAGCAGAGGGTAGAGCAGAGCAGAGACCTAGCACTAAGGAGCAGGAACCCTCGACCGCAACGGCACAGGGCAGCTCCAGCGCCCCGGGCAGCACGGCCATGCGAGGACCCCCCTTTGACACCCTGCTCAGCCGCCACCTACACTCTCTGGTGCCAGATGGAGCCCTGCGCAGGTTCATGGCACAGGTGGCTCGAGCCCTGAGCGAGGACTGTGGCCTGCCCCAGCTCCAGCAGGCCTGCGCCAAGATGGTCTCGAGGATGGGGCTGCTCCTGAGGCTCCTGAGTGAGAGGCAGCGTGACCCGGAGCCCTCTGACCTCCTTGAGCAGTGTGTGCGGGAGGAGGATGCCGGCACCTCTCGTCCCCATGCCCAAGTCCAGGCCAGGGAGATGGGCAGTGAATCTGCAGAGACGGTAGGAGAGAACGGGGCATGGCTGCATGTGTGTGTCTGGGCAGTGGGGTATGGAAGGGGCCTCCCTTCCCTCCCCGCTCCTCTTCTCCCTGATGCACTCTCCTTTTCTCCCAGGAGATGGCCAATCACACCTTGGACCGCTGGCTGCCGCTGGCACTGGTGCTCTTGCCGTTACTGAACTTCATCACATCCGTTGCTCTCCTGGTGCAGTGCTGTTTCAAGGTGAGCCAAGGATTCGTTTGCCAGAGCGCTGCCAGCCAAACCCTGGGGCTGAAGAGCACAGGGGCCCGGGGGGGGGGGGGGTGGGGGTGTGTGCTCCCACAGTGCTCATGGGGCCCGGGTGCTGCTGCGGATGCCTGTGGATGTGCTGGCGTGCACAAGAGATGTCTTCCCAGACTTGGAGCTCATTGTGCTACCCCACCCTGGAGCTTGGAGGTGTTCAGAGCTGCTGGGAGCAGCTTGTCCTGGCTCCTGCCAGGGTCGGTCCCCAGCTCTGCTGTGCATCTTCCCAGCAGCTCCTTCCTTGAGGGGGGCTGCAGCTCCCTCTCATCACAGCCTCTGCCATCAGCCCCTACCAGGCTCTAGCCTGCAGTCCCTCGCCCCAAGCATCCCCTCCCCAGCTCCTGGCCTGGCCTTGCTCTGTTGCAGCACCCGTTGCTTCCAGCCGTGCAGCAATGCCCCTGCTCCCTGCCCTGAGCCCATACCCAGCCTTTCTGCATGGTGCTGCGGCTCCGGCGTGTCGGGGCCGTGCCCGGGCACAGGGCAGGGGCCCAATCGTTGCTGTGGAGTTTGAACCTCCCTTCGGGGGCCTTCTCCTCCAAATAGACAAATGAGCTTTCATGTCTTTAGAAGGCATGGCGCGTGTTGCAGGCGGTGGTTGAAGGGGCGGGGCGGGGAGCCTGCAGAGCTCTGTGCAGAGGAGAAAGGCAGAAATTAACAACGCTGAGGAGAACTCTGGGTCATTCCAGAGGCAGGGAGCAGCGGGGAGCTGGGCAGGGAGGCAGGGGGGGCTCTTCTTAAAGGCGTGGCTGCTGGCACAGCCTTGCACGTGTGTAGACGGCACTGGGCTGGAGGAAGAACCTTCCGGCTCCCCTGTGCTGCAGAATTCTCTGTGGAAACCTCCATGTTCCGAGTCTCTGTCTCTCTATCACCAGCTTTGTGCCAAGAAACGTGCCGAGGATTCCCAAGGCAGCAGCAGATGGAGCCTGAAGCGGTAACTCCTGCCCTGCCCTGCCCCGCCCCAACAGGCTCTGCTCCAGCAGCACCCAGCCCTGCCCAGAGCCCGCCAACTCCTCCAGCACTGGAGGAGTTCATCCTTTACTTCTCATCCTCCTGCTCTTCCCTGTTTCCAGGTGCTTTCAGAAGCTGAGGCCCAAGTGCTGGAGCAGGAGCAAGGACACGGACAGGGACAAGGAGGAGGTAAGGGCAGGAGCAGGCGCCAGCTCTGTCCCTCTACCCGGTCCCTGCCCCATGCCTGCTTCTCACCTCTCTAATCCCTGCCCCGCAGGAGGCGGCCCTGGCTCAGCTCGATGCTCGGGAGGAGGAGTCAGATTTGGAAGAGGTGGTCTCTGACATAAGGTAAATGTGATGGTGGCAATGCTGGTGCCGAGTTCAGCTCTTGTTCCGTGTAGGAACTGCTGAGGGTTTCCTTCATGTTGCTTCCTTGGCTATATCCTTAGATGCTATTTCCTTGCTGTTATTTTCTCAGCTATTATTTCCCAGCTCTTATTTCCTTGATGTTCATAGAAGCATAAACTCACCGAGCGGTTTGGGTTGGGAGGGAGCTTAATGCTCACTCAGTTCCAACTCCCTCCCCAATGGCTTTTGTGACATTGCTGTTATGTCCTTGCTGTCACTTCAGATATCCCAGAAGCTGGTCAGGGGTTCCTGGTGCCCATGTGTCAGCAGAGGAGAAACGACTTTTGCTTGCCCCACAAGCGCCTTGAGACCCAGCGTGATGCTCCTTATTCATGGAGCAGGATAGAAGTTCTTCGAAGTCACCAATAAAACTGTTGGGTTGTTCGTTCTGCCCGTGTCCTGTGAGTTGATGGATGCATGCATGCGTGTGTCTGAGCCTCTGTGTGTGTGCACGCAAATGTGATAAACACGTAGATGTATTGGCTTTTGCAAATCATAGGTGTGGTTATGTGGGGATAACTGTACCAGTTTACAGTAACAGACACAAAGCTCGCTAAAGACACAAGATTAGACAACAAGTTAAAAAGGGCCAGAACTCTTGAGCAAAACGGAGTCACATAGCAAAAGAATTTGTAAAAGAAAGACACGGGGGGAGAGGGGGGCCTTGATATAAGAAAAGCTGGTGCCTGGAAAACATAAAGTACTTTTTATCTTAACTTAGGTTGTAGAAAGAGAACAATGTTTATGTTGTAAGTCTGTGGAATGTAGTGGCCCCACTAAACATGAGTTAATTGTTTCACACTAGTCTTCTAAAGTATCTTTAGTTTTAAAGAACAATGTTTGTGTTGTAAGTCTGTGGTGAGATAATAGGATTTAGTGGCCCCACTAAACTTGAATGAGTTATTTCACACCATCCTTCTATTTATCAGTTAGTTTAGAGACAGTGCCTCCCAAACATCTGCTAGTTTGGGATACTCCTTGTCTGCCCATCCTGCAATAAATTTTGCAGGCGGGTCACACTGTTTTAAATCATTGCTAGTTATCAGAATAATTACAGATACAGCTGGTTGTGTGATTGCTGGGGGGTCCAACTGTGCCCAAGGTGAAAAGTACACTGTGAGGAAGAAGACTGCTTACTTCATCTTGAAGACCCCTACTCACAAGAGGAAGACTGCTTACTTCATCCTCAAGACCCCTGCCCACAGTCACCGGAGAGCACTGCGCAGACGCCAAGAGGAGGGGACTTACAAGTTCCGGGAGTTAGTTATAACATTCCCCGCCTATATGCGGCAATTATGAATATGCACGTAACTAATGTAATAGTGAAAGTATAGTAACCTGTAACAAATGCTAATCACTTGCGCCTCTGGCTACGGTCATGCGCCCAGCGCTGTTGCTTTTGCTTTATTGACTTTGTCCCTCAATAAAACCTTGTTATCTTATTTAGAGGAGTGAGTTCGTATTTCACAAATGGGGGCTTGTCCGGGATAAGAACCTGCTTTGCTTCCGTGGGCCTAGGGGAATCTGAGTGAAGGGCGCGCCCTGCCGATTTTGGCAGTTTGCTCAGTTTCTTCTGGTCTCATCGGCGCTTGCAGGTTATATCCTGGGCAAAGAAGGGGACTCAAAAAGCAAAAGCAGGGAAGGGCTCCCAGGAAAGCCGCGGTCGCCTGTAATTCACGTGCAGGAAGACCCGGACAAGAAAACGGACTGGAAGTGTTGTTCGGTTGGACGGGTATATGGGGGTGATCGGTGTGTGAATGAGACACGGACCGGGTAACCTGGATCTGGAAATAATTCGGCAGACCAAGAAGCTAGAGATGAAGCAGTAAACGGAA